CAGGAAGCCTGCTTCTCCCTCTCCCATTCCCCCTGCTTGTGTTCCCTCTCTTACTGTGTCTCTCTCTGTCAAATAAATAAAAATCTTAAAAAAACAAAAACAAAACAAAACCACTGAATTATGGGGATGAAGATAGGGGTCACTGATCATTGGGAAGGGGGACTGATCTCTGAGAGTGAAGCTTCATTTTCCCATGGAGATGAACTTATTGGTTAATGAGGCCAAGGCTACTGAATTTAGGAGACTGAATTATTGGTATTTAGGAATGAGGGTATTATTCCATAAGAATGATGCTACTGGTCTGTGGGAATGAGACCACTAATGCATGAGAATGGGTTGTTGACCTGTGGGTTTAGGAACATTTGCCTAATGGGTGTGTGGCTATTGGGCAGTGAAGATAGGTATTGATTTTAGGGATTATTGAATGTTGGATTGCGTTTGATCCATGGGAGTTGAGCTATGAATCCATTTGGATGGGACTGTAGATGGGTGGAGATGAATCTAATAATCCATGAGGATGGTCAGTGGAGATGGAACACCTGGTCAGTGGATGGTGTCAAGAATCAGAGGAATTGGGAGTTTTGATCCCTGGGAAGAGCTATTGGTTGGTGGGAATAAGTTGTTGATCTTTGAGATGAGGCCATTGATTCATGCAAATTGGGCTTTTGATCTGAGAGGATCTAAGAGCACTGAAGATCCATGAGGATGGGACTATTAATCTCGGGGGGGGGGTGTGCTATTGTGGTTATTGATCCATGGGGGCTGGACTGCTGACCCATAAGGGTGGAGTCATTTGTAGAGTTGAACTACACAGGTCAGTGAGAATGTGGCTGTTGATATTTAGGAATTAACATAATGATCTGTAGGAATAAGGCCATTGAGATGAAACCTGTCATGTAGATGGGGTTATTACTAGAGATGAGTCTATTAATCTATGAAGATAGAGAGGGAGGTGGTTAGTGGTGACAGGGATAATAGAGGAGGAGCTAGGACTTTTGATCTGTGGAGGCAGGGTTTTTGGTCAGTTGGGATGGGGCTATTGTCTTTGAAGATGAGCCCTTGATCCATGGATATGGGGATGGGGGAATGGGTGGTATATTATTCCCTTGTGCAGAAGAGGTATGGAAGGAGTACTTCTTGATGGGGAGTGAAGTTGAGACAGGGCTGGGGCTGCATATCATTGAACAGAAGTCCAGAAGACTGCAGAGTCCAGTGAATCCTCTTCCACCTCGTGCAAAGGCCACCTGTCTATGCTAACCACCCTAGCATCCCCTCCTCTCTACTTGCCCTGTCCCCACTGCAGCCCTCACCTGTCCGCGGGGTAGCCCAGGAACAGGTAGCCAGAGGCAAAGCCCAGGATGAAGAGGATCTGCTCCAGGATCACCTGCCAGCCCAGGTCACACACTAGATCCCACTGGGAATGTGAGAGGGATATAGCCGCGTGAGGCTCCGTGCTCCCCGCTCTGGGCCCGCCCCCAGACCCGCGGCCTAGCAGGCCGTCTCACCTGGCCGATGGCGTTGGTGGTGAGTACCGGCAACCCATTATAGTCCCAGTCCTTGAGACAATGGTTGAAGTCCGGCGGGGCGAAGCCGCTGCACGACGGGTCCGTACTGGTGGCGACGCGGCTGGCGGCGCTGGCTGCTAGGGCCGCGCTGGCGACGCTGACGCCGCTGGCGTTGGGGGGCTGCTCCCAGCCAGACGCATTGGGGGCAAAGCCCCCGTAGTGGCAATGCAGTGGGGGCGCCAGGGTGAAGATGGGGTCTGAGGCCATGCCCAGCGCCACGAAGAGCACGGGCAGGCAGCAGAGGCCGAGCTGCAGCTGCTGGCCGCCGCCCAGCGCCCCCACCTGGGCGAGCAGCGCTTCAAAGCTGAGGGGGCCGGGGGGCACGGCCAGCGACAGGCTGCTGCCCATTCCGTCGCCGCCCGCGTCGCCCTCCCCCTCCCGCTCGCGCTCGCGCTCCCGCTCACCCTGCAGCTGCTCCGTGGGCACCGCATCTCCGAGAGTCCCGACCTGCTGGGGGGGTGGGGGGGGAGAGGGGTGAAGCGGAGAAGCAGAGAAAGACGCAGAGCAAGGGAAGAGGGCGGGCGCGAGGAAGGCGGTCAGGGGCGGGGGGTGCTCGGGAGGAAGATGCCGCTTGGCGGCTGCGGGGTGCGGGGGGGGGGATGATGGCGTAGCCCCCAGGGCGCAGGCACTTACTCCGTTGGGGCTGGGGGTGATCTCTACAGTGCTGTCGATTTTGCTGCCGCCCCCGCCATTGGGCTCGGGGGTCCCGGTGGCCACCCGGGGAGCCAGCTTGCCGACCGCAGGGGCCCTGCCGGCCTGCACCGAAAGGATGCGCTGTCCTCTGGCCTAGTAGGGGGCCCGATGCCCGGACACAGAGGCCGGAGAGACCCCGCTCTGCAGCTCTGCAGCCGCGGGCACCTCCTTCGTCTCTGCGATCTCTGTGCTGATTTCCCCTCCCCTTCCTCCAGACTCTCCTCCCCCTTCCCACGTCAGCAGAACCTTCGGTCCAGACTCTTCGTCAGAGGGAGGAAGGGGGGCTAGGGCCCAGGGGCTCTGTCTCTGTTCCCTGGGTCTGCGGGCCATTGCGGTAAAAAGGAAAGAAAGCTGAAGGATAGTAGCTACCCAGGCAGTTGCCAGAAAGTCCTTTGCTTCCAATTCTTCCTCATCATTCATTCATCCAGCTGTCCAGCCATCTTTCCACCCATCCACTGATTCCTCAGTAAAATTTATTAAGCGTCTGTTATGTGCCTGGCCTTGTGCTAGGCTTTGGGGGATGACAGGATGGACAAGACCACCTTGAAGTAGCTTACTTGGGAGACAGCCGTGTATACTGGCAACTACAGTTCAGGGTATGTGCATGGAGGACTGGGCTGGACCCTGTAAGCAGCCCTGGTTGCGGTCCTCTACAAGACCACCCTGTCTTGTCATTTCTCAACATCACTTCCTCTAAACACTTCCTTTTTTGGTTGCCAAGTCTCATACACTCCTCGTTTTCTTTCTCTTGCTCCTCTTTTCTCCAGGCAGGCTCCTCCTCCTCTTTTTCACCATCATTGTGTCTGCCATCCTGAGGCTTGGTCCTGGGTCCACCTCTCATTTCACTGTTCTTTCCCACCTTGAAATCTCACCCATGTCCACAGCCTCATTCACCCCTGATATAAACAGTACAAACCTGATCTCCAGATCTACATCTCCAGCTCCCACCTCGCTTCTGAGCCCCAGACCTATGAAGCCACCACTTATTCATCCTCTTAACCTTGTGTGACTCACAGGGACCTCAAACTCAATACGTCCAAGACCAAACTCATGCCCTTCCCCCTGTAACATGGTTGTTCTCTAGTGCTTCTTTCCCCCAGTGAATGGTACCGTCAGTACTCAACTGTGGCCAGGTGCTCAGGTGACAGCCCTTACAAGGCCTCCTCCTTACCCTCATGTCAAATCCTTTACAAAATGCTGTCCATTTTACTTCCTGTGTAGTTCTTACTCTGTTTCTCTACATCTCTACCACCGTTAGTCAAGCTACCTGCTGCCCAGACTGCTTAAGCCTCCTAACTGGTGTTCTGCATCCACATCGTTTCCACCCACTTCCCCTAGCCTTATTTCTAGTGCAGGTGGAGTGATTTTTTTCAAAATGTAGATCTGTTCGTGTCCCTTTCCTGCTTAACAGCCTTCAATGTCTCCTCCTCGCCAACAAGGTAAATACTAATATTCCAGAAGCCTCATACATGCTCCTGCATGCTTGATCCCATGCTCCCTGGTGCTTCACCTCACTTCTCTCCCCAGACTGCACTCATCGTATGGGCCTTCTTTCAGTTTTTCCAATGCCACAGGGCCCTTGCACAAGTTGGTCTTTATGCCTGAGGGCTTCTCCTCTCCTAGTCAAGTTCTCATCCTTCAGCTATCAGCTGAAGCATATCTGCCTCAGAGAAGCCTACCCTAACCCCTAGACTTGCTACTCAAAGTGTGATTTACAGAACAGTACTCCCACGTCATCTGGGAGCTTGTTAGAAATGCAGAATCCAAGCCCTTGAATCATTATCTCCCTTTTAATCAGATCCCCAGGTATATGTACACTCAAGTTAGAAACACACTTCTCTAAGATATTTAATACCTAATACATACTGTATTCTCCAGTCCAAGGTTAAGGGCTAGAAAGGAGTGTGCTGTTAGTCTCAACCAGGAAGTCCATTGCCTCTTCTCTCTACTGAACCACAGACTTCCAATTTGTCTCCTCTGTTCAGAAATTTTCCAAATATGGGAACTCTTCTAATACATTAAGCAGCTTCCCACTGCTCCTTTACCCCGACTCATTTCGGTATCTCTTTAGGATTTACTTTGGTGCGGTCACAGCCAACATTGCTTGGGGATCCAATTGTCCTTGTGTCTGTCCTGGAATTGTAATATAATCCCTTAACTTTATGTGGCACTGGGCCACTCACATGCATTATCTTGTTACGGCCTCACAACCCCGTGAGACCATTATGATCATCCTCCTATTAAAGGTAAAGCCGGTGGGGGGGGGGCGCCTGGGTGGCTCAGTTGGTTAAGCGACTGCCTTTGGCTCAGGTCATGATCCTGGAGTCCCTGGATGGAGTCCCGCATCCGGCTCCCTGCTCAGCAGGGAGTCTGCTTCTCCCTCTGCCTCTGCCTGCCGCTCTCTCTGTCAACCGAATAAAGTCTTAAAAATAAATAAATAAAACAAAACAAAACAAAACAAAAAGGTAAAGCCAGGACTCAGAGGGACTGACGGGATTTACCTGCAGACACATAGGTGCATGGCAGATCTGGGACTTGCACTGAAACCTCTGACTCTATTTCCAGGTTGATCTCTTGACATTCTTTCTGGGAGATGATGGAGGATAGCCCTGTTATAAGTCTTCAACACACAAGGGTGAATTTGGGTGACCCCAGAGTCTGGAGGTGAGTTTTCTTGGAGAGTGAAATGAGAAAGAAGGAACCCAAAATGGAGAAGGCAAAGGCATAGAGGGGGGCCAAGAGACTCAGACTGTGCTTGAAGTTCAGGGTGCCTCTAATCCAGTCACAGTGCCAAGGTGTCATCTGGGGAAAGTACAACGGAAGCAATGGATATGTGGCTTGGACTTCTTCCCTGTGGTAAGTGGCTAGAGTGATCTCCCATCTAAGTCATGGCTTGTCAATTTCACCAGTGCTTAAGGACTATGGACTAACAGCACATTGCATTCACTTGGCTCCTTGGCTCCTCTAAAAGGTGGGTCTAGAAGGATGGTCAGCAGGAGGCCTGGGAAGGGAGGCTGAAGGGGCCAGACCTTCTTGCGTTAACCTAAGGGAGAGGGCACCCAGGCCAGCCAGCAGCACTGTCCAGTTGGCCAGAGCTGTCCTGTGGCGCCAAGCTGAGGATAGGCCTTCACTGGGGTGATCTCTTCAGCATGGCATCTTTCAAGGCTCACGTGAGGCCAACCTCTCTCCACATGTGCACCTCTCTAATGACATTGTGTGACAGTGAAGTCTTGAAGGAAAGGCCCCCACCCAGTCAGTAATCTGTCTGCCTTCTGGGAATGCTAGTTCTCAGACTCTTCTTGGTGCTCTCATCCCTGGGGCCTCAGCTTAGATATCACCTCCCCATCATCCTGTCCAAAGTCTCCTTCAATGGCCTTTCCCTCATCCAGTTAGTCCCTCACATCACCCTGTTTATTTCCATTACCAGCAACTGTTGAATCTGTGGCAGGTATTTTTTTTTTATTTACTTATTTTAACTGACGCAATTATGTCCATCCCACAGTGTACCTTCAGAACTGTGCTTGGCACATCTTGGGAGCTGAAACCCGCCGAATGAATAGTTACTGAAAATAACAGCAAAATCTCCCCCCAAACCTAAGGACATCCTGCCCACATGTGTGTCCTGTCGGTTTGGCCAAGGGCCACCAGGCCCAGCTCCTCCCCCAAGCACCCAAGAAGCAGAGGCAGAGAACCAGACAGCAGGGCTTACTGAGGCCCAGCTCTGTCCTGCCTCCCGTGGGGAGGAGCCGTCGGGCCTCTCCCAGATCTCCACATTTTGGGCGGTCAATGTCCTGCCCTCACTCTCGACCAACAGTGAGGTGCTGATGTTCTAGAGCCAAGAACCAGGACAAGAAAGGGGCTCCGGGTGGCCCCAGGCTTCAGCCACCTGCTTCTCTGTGGGGCCATTTCCAGAGGTGGGGGGCAGTGCAGTGACCAAGAACCTCCACCCTAGGCTGAGAGAAACGAGTCCAGTTCCTCCCTGCCCCAAAGGGCCTGGCACCTGCCTCTGACAAAACAGGGAATAATATTAAATATAAATAATTTATACAAAATGGCTCGTACAAAAAGCTGCGGGAGGGGGAGGGACATCTCTGTGAGAGACTGAGATGACCGGAAGGGGAAAGACGCCCCCACCTCTCCCGGTCCCTAAAATGGAGCCCTCTGGCCGCCCAAGGCCCAAAAGGGAGCTTCGGCAGGCAGGAGAGGGGCGGAGCAGGGCCCCGAGGGGGCCCTCAGGGGGCCAGGCTGGAGAGCAGAGAGGTGAACTGCAAGGCCTGCCCTGCCAACTCCGCCACACGCTGCGCCATCTCTCGGGCCGCAGGGTGGGACGGGTAGCCCAGGGCAGCCCCCTTGACAGCCAGCACCGTGGCCCGCAGTGCCTGGCCCAGCGCTGTACCTGCAGCCCCGACCCGCGCTCGCAGAGGGGCGGACGCCGCCAGCCGACCCAGAGTGTCCCCAACAAACACCAGGCGGTGAGCGGCCACCACCACCCGCTTGCCATGGGGCACGAAGAGGCGTGGGGGCTGCTTGGCCTGGGTGCTGGACATGAGGGCCGCCACGGCCGCCTGCAGTGCTGAGTAGTGGCTCTGGCACTGGCCTGCGTAGAAGTGCAGGAGCTGTAGGTCTCCGGTGGGCAGATCCAGCGGCTCCCCTGGGGATGGGGCCTCCTGGCGGCAAGAGGAGTGGTTGGTGGGCACGCTCCAGTGCTGCTACTCCGGCAGGGCTTTCCTCCCTCCTTCCCTTCCTCGGGTCCTCATTCCTTCCCTTCATTCCCTCCTTTTTACCCAAGCTCCTCCCCCTGCCCACCAGAACATTTAAATTCTCATAGCCAGGGCCAGGAAAGTGCCCGGAGGAGCTGATGTCAGATCAATCTGGATTCAAACTAGTCTCTGAACTTGGTTCCTTATCTCTAAAATGGGGCATCTGGCCCATTTTATGCTGTCCAGTATCAACATAATGTGAACCACGTGTGTAATCAAAATTTCTCTAGTAGCCATGTTGAGAAAAGTAAAAAGATTTTTTTTTTCTAACTCCAGATATAAAAATTGTTGTAATTTCAACATGTAATCAATATAAAAATGACTGACGTTTCTTTTCATTCTAAGTGCAAAACCTGGTGTGCGTTTGTTTTATACTTACAGTGCCTTTCAGTTCAGACTAGCTACATTTCAAGTGCGCAGTAGCCGCATGTGGCTAGTGGCCACCATATTGGATAGTGCCGTTCTAGCGCCTGCCTCCCAAGGCTGCGGGGCGGTGAATGCCGCAGCATGCGGAGAGGGCTTAGAACAGAACGTTGCACACGGTGAGCACTGTACCAGTACTGACTGTGGCTGTGATTAGTGCTGACCTGTGCGATGTGCTTAGCACAGGGTCTGCACTTGGCATCTGCCTGATAAATGGTAGCTATGCTTAGGACCATTCTAGACAGTCAGGGAGACCACCTCGCTTTCCTGAGGCCCAGAGAGATTAACTGGTGACTTCAGGGCCCCTGGCTTCTTACTGGTGGAGCTGGGATTAGAAGCCCCGTCTCTTAGGAACCCAGGAATTCACAGTTGGAAGGAGCTTCAGAAGTCACCTGGCCCAGCCCAAAATTCTCTCTGCTTCCTTGGCTGCTTGGTTTACTGATTCCTCTCCAACACATTCTTTCCCCTCTTTCTGAATTCCTGATATCCTTTTCCAGGTTCCAGTCCTTCCTGCTGAATTCTCGCTTCTCTCTACCCCAGCTCTGGCTGCCTGAGTTCTTACCCCCACCCTAATCTCTCTCCCTTGCTGCTTCCTCCAAGTTCCTGTTCCTCCTTCCTGTCCCCCTTCTCTAGCACCGTCCCCACAGGGTTACCTGCTGCTCCGGTGACCCCCTCTCCGGCAGTTCAGGATCCCCTGGGAAGGCTTTATCCAGGGACCTAGATCCCTGAGCTTTATCCATGCCCTGTGGGAGGGACCAGGGTCTCAGAGCAGGGGTGGAGGAGCAGGGCAGGTGTCCCCCACCCCTCTGCTGCTGTGTTCCTGCCCCTTCCCCCTCCCCCTTTCTTCCCCAGGTCTCTACAGCCATCAGAGGTTGCAGGCCCTTGACTCCAGGTCTGGGAGAGTTCTGGTGGCAGATCAGATGGCTTGGGGACCCCAGGCTGGGTTTAAGAGTGTGGCACCAGTACAAGTGGTGGGACCAAGCACTGGGGTCCCAGGCCATAGGGTGCAGGGCCAGTGGAGGAAGGGAGGAGGGAAGAGAGGGGGGGTCCCTCTGGCCCCAGGCTTCTTCACTCCTCCCTCTGGTTATCTTGGGGGGCATTTCTGGTGGGAGGGGAGCTCACCTTCAGGTGGACATAATCGTACTCCTCAGCCATCGGGATGCCCTCATACTCATTGTGGTGTCCTGTTGGATCGTCCTCTACCTCCTCACCCTCTTGGTCCCCCTCAACCTTGGGGCCCCCATAGCCAGGCAGGCGAGGTGGGGGTGGGGGTAGAGGTCGATCCTGGATACTGCCTTTCCGGCCTGGAGCAGGAGAGGGAGCAGGGGAAGGGCTGGGGGCCTCAGGGACAGGCAGAGCAGGCAGAGGGCGGCGGGACAGGCTCTCCGCTGAGGGCAAGCGGGGCCTGTGTGGGAGTGGGGGGCTTCTGGCCAGAAGCAGGGCCAAGGTGTCCAGGTCATTGGAGGCTGAGGCTCCTGGGGGCTCTGGAGAAGGGGGTGCCTCTGGCCCCAGCAGGGGCACATCGTAAATGCCCTCATCGGTGCCTCCACCTTCCCCATCTGCTAGCAGTTCCTCCGGCGCTTCGTATAGATTGAGCAGGGCTGAGGCCCGTTTCAAGTTGGAGGGGGCAGCATAGAGGGGGGGCTCGGGTTCCCGGCCTCCCTCCCACTCAAGATCCGGTTCCAGGTCTGACGGTAGCTTTGGGGTCAAAGGCACATCATAGGGAGCTTCATCCTCTCCAGGGGGTTGTGGGGCAACCCGGGCCAGAGGGCGGGTGCAGGAGGCAGGGGAGTCATAGGGTCCACTGGAGGGAACTCGGACGGCAGTGGGGGGCACGTCGTAGACCTGGAGAGGGAGCAGAGCCATCGGTTATCCTGACTCCGCAGTGGACGCCCACTGAGAGCCCTCTGTTCCCTGCCCAACATACACATGGATGTCTAGCCCTCACCTCCACGGTGTCTCCAGGGGCAGCCAGCTGGGCCCCACTCCCTCTGGGGACCTTGTAGATGGGATCAGGGGAGGGCGGGCAGGGTCCAGCTGGAGGTCCTAAGGTAGGACAGGGCCGAGCTGGGGGTGGCACCACATATACCTGGGGGGTCAAGACAGATGGGTGGGTCAGGAGTGGGGACAAGAGAAGCAGCTAATATATGCCATAGAGGAGTTAACACCCCTTCCAACTCCCCCCCATGCTAATGGGATAAGAGCCCAGGAAGGGTGGCAGACAGGTTTCACCCAGCACCGGGTCCGTGAAGAGCGACTGTCTCAGGGATCGCCCTGCCCCACCTTGCTGCAGGTACCAGCAGAGTGGAACGGGGCTCTTCCGGCTTGGGGTGGGGAGGGCTCCAGCTCTCACCTCCTGGTCCTCATTGCTGTGCTCTGGGGCTGGATGTGGTGAGCCAGGCTGGGCTGGGGGCACCTGGGTGACACTGGGCTGGGGTGCCGGGCCAGCAGGAAGGAGCTTCACTCTGTTGGCGGGCACAATGCCCTGCTGGCCATGTAGAGAGCAGAGGCACCAGCCGTCCAGCCCACCGGCGCCCTCCCTCTGCAGTACCCGTAGAACGTCCCCTCGGCGGAAGGACAGCTCCTGGGGGGACTCAGCGGTGTTGTCGTAGAGTGCCCGGGCCAGCTGGGCCTGGTGGGTGAGGCGGGAGTGGGGAGAGGGGTCTCACACACATATCAGGTCATCAGGTCCCTTGCTCAGAAATATCAGAGAGCTCCCCATTTCCCTCAAGCTACAAATCTGAACTGACTCAGCTCTTTTTGACTGGGTCCTGCCTTGTCTCCAGCTTCATCCCTGTACTCTTCCTCTTTCCTTCTATTCCTTGAACTAGAGAAATTCTTTCCCGCTTCAGGGCCTTTGTACTTGTGGTTTCCTTGACCCAGAATGCTCTTGCCCTGACTCATCACCTGACTGGCCCTTTTGCATCCTTCACTTCTGCTTAAGTCTCTCCTTCTCAAAGAGGTCTTTTCTTCACTCTTCTCCCTACCCTACTCTGGGTCTGTCTCCACCATTGTTTCCTTCATCATACTTCATACGATTTGCCAATTTCGTTTCTTATTATCTATCTCTTCCCTTACCCTGTAAGCTCTGGGAAAACAGGGACTGCTATATTCCTGGCCCCTGTGAAAGGGCTTCACCTGGAATCAGGTCTCAATGAACATGTGTTGAATGAATTTCCTCCAAAGCTCTGTGTACATGAGAAAGCCCTGCTAAGGTCTGCCAGAGAATCTCCTTCACCTTCCCTGTTTCCCACTCAGCATCCCCCACAAGCAGAATTAGATTGAGTGGCAGCAGAGACCCATCAGTCTGAGAGAGACTGGGAAAAACCCAGCCCAGACAGTGCCCGGGCATAAAAAGGAAGAAAACAGAAACTGAAGCAACTGTTTTGTTCTCAGTCTCAGCAAATAAGGTTCTATCAGAGGAAGCCGACGTTACCCTGGAGAGGAGAAAGAGTATACACTCTACTGTGTGTGTGTGTGTGCATGTGTGCGCGTGTGTGTGGAGGAGGGCCTGGCAGACCAACCAAGAGCAAACATTTATCAGCCTGTTTCCAGGCCTGTCTGGCAGGGACATCTAAGCTTTGTTGCTCTGAGAGCCACCTGCTCAGGTGGTAAGTCACAGATACCAAGTGCAAATTATGGATCCAGACCTGGTGCAAGTCTTCACACTAATCATCTCATCTCATTTAATCTCAAAACATCCTTATGAGGAAGGAGCCATCATTATCCCCATTTGGAAAGGAGGCTGGGACAGATAGGGTAGGACTCTGCCCACAACAGAGGGCTGGTGCTGCTGGTGGAGGTGACTTGAACCCCAGGCTGTTTGACTCCAGAGCCAGCACTCTCAATCACCCCCTACTGCTTCTCCACGATCACAAACATGAGGTTCTACTTTTTTCTTCTTCTATTAGTAACTTAACCTCTTGGTTAAGTAGAGTCCATGACTCAAACATGACTCAAGCACATACGAAGTCTTCATTATACCCGACTTTCCTTTGCTATTCACCCCTCACGGGGCTCCGGTCTCGTGTTGTCCTTCGGTAGAATCAAGCTTACACCACTCACAGTATCGAAATACATTTTGGTTGGCTTATGCTTGCGAAGTGACCATGCCTGCGGGCAGGACCCTAAGCAGCGGTGGCGGAGAGCGGGTAGTTAGGCATCACCGGGGTAGGGAATCCATGTGGCCTAATTCAGTAAAACGTCTCAAGCTAAAGATCTCTGGCAGGGGTGCATTTGGCCCCCAGACCCTGGACAGAAGGAGGCCCTGCTCAGCCAGCAGGAGTGCATGTTTCTCTTGACTGGCATTTCCCTGCATGGAGAGGTGGTCCAGCCCTCATGGCTGGGTGATTTTAACAACAAACTGACTTTTCCTCTTGCCTGGTTCCAGATCAAACCATTTTCTGATTATATTTTGGCTTCTAAAGGATATTATCCCACAGAAAGAAAACATGCTAACCAGATGGCACAAATTCCTGGTTAGCTCAGCACTCTTCTTTCTAATTGTAAATTAGAAATTAGTGTTTTGGATTAGGCAGGGGGTGAAGAGCACAGTTCTGAGGCAGACAGACCCCGGGTTGAGTCCTGGCTCTGTCCCTTTCTAACTGGGTGACTTTGGGCAGGTTGTTTGAACTTCCCAAGCCTTCGGTTTCCTCCTTTGTAGAATTCCATGTCCATATCCAAATATCCATTTCCGGATAATAACAGCACTATCCTCACAGGGTTGTGGCGAAGACTGGAGGAGATAATGCATCAAACAACCAGGACAAACCGAGATAAAGCTTAGGACCAGCACAGGGCCAGTATATGCTCAAAAACTATTAGCTGTTATTAGGACCCTGTGAGTTTGATTAGCGTAAATGCCACTCCCCACCTCTAGGTAAAAAGAAAAATCTACCTCCTGGGACTGCAAAGCAGACCAGCTGACCAGCTAGCCCTGAGCTACTGTTTTCAGGACCTCCCCCTCTCCAGGCTCTGAGAAGGTCTTCTCACCATCATACAGATTGAGGAGCTAAAAGGAGTTTGGTCTGAGAAGGAGTGAAAACTGAACTCATCCTTGAGGGGTATGGGAGGATGTCAGGAGCCATGCTTCTCGCCTTTCCAGCCTCACAGTCCTCCTTCCCAGAGTACCCATTTGGAGGGGGTCAGAAAACAGGCAGCAGCCTTGCTTTCCCCGGGAATCACAGGGTCTAGGGAAGGGTGGAAAGGGGACAGAGTTGTTTGGATTCACACCATAAGGCGTGCTGGGCAGAAAGCAGAGGTGGGGCTGTGGAGAGCTCCTCCTTGTGTTAAGGTTTGAATTCTGTCCAATGGGGCCAAACCTCTGGGCCTCACGACTTCAGAAACCCAGGCCAGAGCTACTGATGGACTGATTGATGATGGGTGTGGCCACCTCTGCCCTACCCGCTCCTCAGGGGCCCGGCTGACTTGCGAGGGAGTGGCTGCCTTAACTGGGGGGTGGCAGTGGGCACCTCTGGGAGGCTCTCTGGGAGGCCTCCTCCCACCGTCCCATCATGCCAGCTGTCTCCTCCCTTTGTCCCCAGTCCCCAGAAAGTGGCCAGAGGCTGGCTGACATCACCTCTCCTCCTCCCTCTATTTTCTCTCTCTCCCCTCCCGATCTCCCTCTTTTGCTCTATTTCCCCCCCTTTTCTCCATCCTTCCTCCAGAGAAGGGCTTCTTTGACCTCTCCCATTTTCCTGGAGCCACCTCCGTTCTTTCAGCGGCCCCCCCCCCCCCCGCCCCCAACCTTTTACTTGCCTCCCAATCACAAGCCCCTGCCAACCACCGGTGGCCATCTGTTCCCGCCCCTAAAACAGCAGATAGGACTCGGGCTAGGCTTGCCCCCTCCCCTCCATCCAGGGGCAGCCTCTAGAAAGAAAAAGAGGAAAATGGGGAGGAGGAGGGGAGAGGGGGAACCTAGACCCAGAAGCAGCTAGGGAAGGGGAGTGAGAGGGAGAGAGGGAAACAAAAGTGGGGTTGGGGGGGTGGAGGACACAGCCTCTCGGAGAAGAAAGGGCCCAGGGAGAAAGACAAAGAGAAGGCAGAAATAAAAGTGACAGGAGTGCAGGGCAGACCGTGGAGGCCTATGGCCCGCGGCCTCCTCTCCCTGGTGGACTCACCGACGTGGCTATGGCCATGGCCTTGGCCTCCCGCGCGGCCCGCTCCAGGCCAGGCTCGCTTTCGCTGACTTCAGCAGCGGTCGCCCCGCACCATGGAGGCGGCCCCCGGCTGCGGCGCCTGAGTCGTGGCCTCCGCGGAGGTTGGAGGAGGAGAAAGAAAACCCACAAAACTCCCCAAATGGGAGGCAGCTTGGCTGGGCAGGAGGAGGAGCGGGGCGGGCCGGGCCGGGGCGTCGCTGCGGGACCTCATCCAAGGGCGTGCGCTCCGTGCCGTCCCGGGGGCCACGGGGTTGGCTGGGCCCCTGGAGCTGCCTGGCCTAGGCCGCGGGGGGACCCCGGGTCCGCATGGGCCGAAAGCTCCCTCCCAGGGCCGGGGCAGGCGAGGAGGCGGGAGCTGGGGCCGCGCTCGACGCCTCGCCAGCCGCTCAGGACGGCCCCGAGGGCTGGGAGAAGCCGCCGGGGCGGTTGGGCTGGACGGGCGAGTTCAGGCGCCAACCCTCCCCAGCCGGGGGCCGCGGCGGAGAGCGGTGCTCCCAGGGCTGTGGCCGGGCGGCCCGGGGCCCTGCGGCGGCCCAGCTGCGAGGGGGTGGGGCGAGCGAGCACCGAGACGTTCGCCCCTCTTCAAACTCGCCCAAGTTGGCGCCAGGAGGCAGGCTGGCGCCGGAGGCCTCCGAGAGCGTGGCGGTTGGGCTGCGTCGCCCGAGTGCCAGCGCTCGGCCCAGACACTCGCACGCCCGGCGGCGAGGCGGGCTCACACTCACGCACACTCGCCCTCAGCACGCCCGGGGCTCGTGGGGCGCCGCGACGGAACCTCGCTCCCCGCACGCGGGCTCGGCCCGAAGGGGCGGGACGGCCTTCCCACGCCTCCGCGGGGCCCCCCTGCGCGCCGCCACCCCGCGGCCCGCTCACGCGCACCCTCGGCAGGGCCCCTCGGCGCGCCCCGGAGCTCGGGGCAGCTCCCGGGTGTCTCTCGGGACGGAGAGAAAGGCCACAAAGCAAAAGCAGCAGCAAAGAGAAGGCGAAGGAGGAGCAGGGGCCAGGGTCCCGTGGACTCGCCTGGAGGAGGGTCGGGGGGGGAACACTGAGGGGGCTGCGAAGGCTCCGAGGGGTCGCGCGTGGCCTTCGGGCTCAGCCCCCGCGCGCGCGGCCCCCCTTCCCTCCCCTTCCCGGGCTCCCGGCTCCCTCTCGGGGCAGTTCCTTTCTCCTCCCCTCGGGCCCTCTCCGCTCCGGCGCGGGGCTCAGTCCTGGGGATTAAAAGAAAGGAGGGAGGGGAAAAGGGAGGGGAAGGGAAGGGGCGGAGGAGAAAGGAGGACGGTCCCTCCAAAGGCGGGTGTTGAGTTTCAGCTCGGGACCCTCGGGCCAAACTGCACGCCCCCTCCCGGGCCCGCTCCCCGGCGCTTCTCGCTCCGGACTTCGCGGCGGACCTCCGCTGGTCTGGTGCGCTCCCTCCGGGGAGCTTCCCTCACCCCGCCACGCCCCCCTCTGCCCCGCCAGCCCCGCGCCCCTCTCCGCGTCCCTTTCATGAGCCCCACATGTCTTTCCCGTGGGAGGGAGCGTGCTCCTTCCTTTCTGGGGTCCTCAGCCGAGCGTCTCCTCTCCCTTGGCGTTGCCTCCGCAGCGGTGACAGGGTTGGCTGGCCGTTCCTGGGAGGGGGGGGGAGATGAGTGGGGGTCTGAGCCCGGTCCCAGAGCTGCGGGCGGGCGGGTGGTGCCGCCTCTTACACTCCTCTGCCAGTCTGGGCCTGTCCCCCCGCCCTCACTCTGGCTCACTCTGCGGCCTCGGGGAGCAGGAGTGGGGACTGCCGGCACAAAAGGGCAGACCTCTTTCAGAGGAGCTGGGATCAGCTGAAAGGACAGGGTTCTTGGGTTCCCACACCTCTCCTTAGTGTGTGCTGTTTCCCTCCAGCCACCCCCATCTCCTGCTTCTTCCTTTTGGGGCTCACCTCAAGGCCCCTTAGGCTGGAAGGGAGCCTCCCTTCTTCCATTTTTGAGGTTCCTGGTGTTGAAAAGGTGAGATGCCACACAGGATTGAAAATTTGTAGTAGATTTTCAGTGTTCACGTTGAACAAATTAACACTTCAAACCCATAAAACAGACAATGACTCTATGTATAACCTCACTTGGAGATAACATCAGAAGTCTAATTGAAGGCCCTTTGTGAACCTGAGGCCTTGAATAGGTGCTCCCCTCCTTCTCTCCTCACAGTGCACAGGCCCACACATCCAGGCATTTTCTAGCAGGGGAGGGGGCTGGCTCCTCCTCCCTGTCACCTGGGCACCTGTGAAGAATCCTGTGCAGAGGGGAGAAGTGGGACCTACGGGATGGGTTAGGAAGAGATTCTGGGGTGAGTGTGGGGATGGACAGTACAGTATTGGTTCTGGGCTTGGCTCACAGATGGGGTGCAGACCTGAGCATGGGCCTGGGGATTCTGAATACACTTAGACCCCTTAGGATGGTAGAGGAACTTACAAATTTCCAGATGGATCTGAAGGGAGAGCTCCGCATCCCAGTCCAATCTCCTCCAGACCCCAACCCCGGGGGCGGGGGGGGGGGGGGCGGGAGGGGGGAGGCTGGCTGCCTGGAACACAGACATTCAGTTGCTGGGGAGTGACTTGCTTTGCTCTGCCCGGGGACTGCCAAGGTAAATTGGGGCCCAAGATGGAGGTGGGCAGGAAATCCAATTCCCAAAGATGAATGCTCAGAGAGGCACAAGGAGAAATCGATGGTGGCCGAATAGGCAGGACTAGGCAGGAAAGAAGTGCTAGGACCAGGCAAAATGGTGGTTTGGGAGGAGGGCACTGGGGCTCACTGTCCGAGCTCAGTGCCCGGGGAAATAAATGTACGTGAGGGGAAGCAGAGTACAAACCTGCAGGATAACGAGACAGTGCTTCTGGAGTGCCCAGGCATGGAATGGAGCCAGTCAGACTCAGGAATAGAACCCTGGTTTCTTAGCTGTGTGACCTTGGTCAAGTTATATAACATCTCTGAGTCTCAGATCCTCATCTGCTGCAGTGTCTTCAGTGAAGAGTAAATATATGTAAAATGCCTAGCACAGAGATCTCCCTCCGTGGCTTTTCCTCACCTTGGCTCCCTGCCCCCACCCCCTCCTCCCTGCTGGTACTTTCATGAAAACTGAAAGTGTTTCTTTGTTGAGGCCAGGAGGAGTCTTTTCCCGTCCTTATCTCATCTCTGCTTTCTCCTTTGCAGAGGTTTAAGGCGATTCTACCTGTTCAGGGAGAGCTCTGGGCTCCAGGTGAGGTTGGGCAGAACCCAGGCTGGGCTGTTAGACCCTGGGTGGGCGGTGGGTAGCAGCCTCAGGCAGCTGGGCCCTCCCCTTCAGGGCTTGTCCGGGCCATATTCCAGGGGTAGCAAGGAACGAACCCCTCCATCTGGCTTTCTGGGCCCCAGTTTCTCTCCCCTTCCCAGCAGGGCCAACTGCTGGTTTCTTTCATCCCATATCATGAGTGTTCTTGTTCCTCTTGCTGCTCAAAACTCAGGTACTCAGGGCTTCTTCCAGTTCTCCTCTCTTGGGACCCCACGGCAACCTGATTGTCTGGGTTCTAATCCTGGTTTCAACACTAGTTGGTGACCTTGGCATGACCTCTTGGAGCCTCTGGTTCCCTGTCTGTAAAGTGGGAATAATAATGAAATCATTAGGGGCACCTGGGTGGCTCAGTTGGTTAAGCGTCTGCCTTTTGCTCAGATCATGATCCCGGGGTCCTGGGATCGAGAGTAACCTCAGTGGGGAGCTTGCTTCTCCCTCTGCCTGCCGCTCCCCCTGCTTGTACTCTCTCTCTCTGACAAAGAAATAATAATGAAATCAATAGCATCAGACTTTTTGTGAGGATTAAGAGATTCCTGAGAACAGTGCCTGGCTCATGCTATGTAAATGTTGGATAAAAGCAACTATTATGATTATTTGATGCCAGCCCTACGGGGGCAGCAGAAGGTCAAGGACACGGTGCGTGCCCTTGAGAAACTCACATCACATAGACCATGCTTGAATCCAGTCAGGACCTTGGAATAAAATCCAAATGCTCTGTCACAACCGGTAAGACCCTCTATGATCTGGCCACTGCCCACCTCTTTGCCTTATCTCATCTGGCTCTCCCCTTATCCTTTGTTCCCCATCCCCATTGTCCTTTCTACTCTCAGATACTCCCAGCTCTTTCCCAGCTCTAGGACTTTGCCTATCTTGCCACCTCTGCCTGGACCACTCTTCCCCCACATGCCTTCCATCATCATGTCAAATTCCTCATCCTCGGAAAGGCCTTCCCTGGCTTTCCAAGTCCCAGCAGCACCCTCCTTCCACCTCCCTCCGCCCCCTGTCTCATAACACTGTTGCATTTTTTTCATAGCACTAATTATTATCAGAAATGATCTGGTTTCCTTGTTTATCATCTGTCTTCTCCTAAAACATGAGCTTCACGAGGCAGAGACTTTATCTGGCTTGCCCTCCTCTGTACTCGTAGCATTCAGAATAGTGCTTGCCATATACTGGTGCTCAATAAACAGGTGCCGAGTGGATGAATGAACAGGGCAGCGGTGACTATGGGAGGAATCTGAGTAAGCCCAGGGCTTCTATGGGCGGGCACCAGCACAGGGCTGAGGGGAGGGAGTTGTGGGGCTATTTGTCCAGTTCACCCGGATTTTCCACGTGTCTCCCAGGCCAGACGAGTTTCTCTCTCTTATTTCTTTCTTTCTTAAAGACTCATTTATTTATTTGAGAGAGAGAGAGAGAGAGAGAGAGTGGGGCGGGCAGAGGAAGAGAATCTCTATCAGACTCCCTGCTGAGCGTGGAAACTGATGTGGGGCTTGATCTCAAGACCCTGGAGATCATGACCTGAGCCGAAACCAAGAGTTGGACACTTAACTGACTGGGCCACCCAGGGACCCCAGACAAGCTTCTCTTTGAAAGCAGGCTCCTAAGCCTAAGCATCTTCGTAACTAAAGGTGATACTACAAATAACTAGCAAGCAGTACCATTATCACTCAGTAATCAGGGCACGGGAGCAGTATTCTAGAGGCCTCCATCTGGGCCAGGTGTTCAGTGCTGGCTTGTAGGTAGGTTATGATCCCAGAGATGCCCCCGGGCTGCGGACAGCATGGATTTACCAGTGGGGGCAGAAGTATTTCAGCATTTTAACTGCTGGTGCTGGGCCCTCACATCAGGTGTGTGCAGATGAGCTTCTGCAGACCCTGCTGAGTCCCGTGGTTTCAGCGGTATTTCGGGAGCAGAAGGTGAGGACTGGGGTGTCTTTCTGTGGAAGGGCAGGACAGCCGCGTTCTGGCTTCCTGCAAGCCCGCAGGGTCTTGCCTTCCATCCCATCTCCCCTGCCCCTCCCTGCTGGGTGCTGATCCCTCCCCGCCAGGGGCTTGGCCAGCCCCCTCACTGCTGGGGGCCATGCCTAGGCAAGTGAGGACAGGTGTGAGGTGAACTTTCCTTTGCTTCCGCCTCCAGCTTTCTTCCCATTGCCACCCCTATCTGCCCACACCCCCAAGGATTCCCTGGAAGATGAAGTGACTCAGGGATTCCAAAACTAGTTCCCCCCGGGAGGAAAACCCTCTGGAAAATGTTTCTCATGGCAGGGCATCACCCAAAGGAATCCCACAGAGCGGCTGGGAGATAAGGACAGAGGCTGAGCAAACCGGAGGGGGCGGGGTGCGGGTGACTCAGAGCCCGGGTTCTCAGGTCAGAGCCGATCACCACAGTGGGGGGAAAGGCCAGCCCTGGGGGCGACTGTGTGCTCACAGGGGCCTTCCCTCTGCCCCTTAGGGCTTTCCTCAGAGGACGTCTGGGTACAGAGGCAGGAGGACATCCCAAAGACCTCTCCTGAAAGGTGGTGTGGGTCTCTGGCAGCATCAGAAAGCCCAACAAGCAGCTGGGATCACTTCCAGCTCTTTCGAGCACCCCTCCTGGACAGGGCCAAGATGGGAAGATCTGGGCCAATGTCAGGCTCTGAGGCTCTTATTGGTTTGGGGGACACCCATAGGGATCCAGCTCTTGTGGAAGAGCAGTGCCCCCTCACAGCCTTTTCTGGGGTTAGGGGTTTCTCCGGAACACCAAAAGCCACCCTGGTAACCATGTGCCAGGCCAAAGGCAGGGGAATACGGATCTAGAGCAGTGGATCCCAGCCCGCAGGGCTGAGTGCCCGAGTGGGCCGGAATGTCCCATGGTGGCCTCTGGCAGGCTCAGGTGAGACCTGTCCCGGCCCAAGCCTGGGTAAGCAGGAAAGCACAGACAGGGGTGGGGGTGGCGCTTCTCTTCCATTTGCAGCTGACTGGGGGTCAGCCCAGTGTGGCACCTGCGTGCCAGGAGATTAGATTTGGAGCTGGTCAGGGCTGGAGTAAAAAGCCAACTCTGCCTCCTCCTAACTGTGCAACCTTGGGAAGGTTACTAAATTTCTCTGGGTCTTAGTTTTGTCATCTGTAATATGGGTATATTAGTTTCCATCTCGTGGTTTCAATGTAAGGATGAAATGAGCTGATGCATGTAGAGGGCTTGGCCCTAGCCTGGCACATGATACACAGGAGCCAAGGTCAGTGGCATGCAGAAGTGAGAGGGTGTTGGGGAGCATAGGGCAGACAGCGGGGCAATGGGAGCGGGGTGATGTGTTCCCCGCCTCAGTGCTTTTCCTAAGAGCTCCTGCTCTCCCAGCCACCATCTGTCTCTCCTACGCCCCCGCCTCACCCCCAGTTCCAGGCTTCCCCAAACCCACAACAACAGCTTCTCCCAATTCTCCAGACCGCCCCCTGATCTCATCACTCCTCTGCTCTGCAGCTGCTTTGCCCTACAGCATTTGAAGAATTCCTCCTCATTCTGCAGTTTAACTTATTCCTGGTTCCCTGTGTTTACTTTCTGAGTCGCTGGTTACTAGAGGAGTATTTTCTAAGGGAAAGCACATGCAAATCAGAAAACATGATTCTAGAGACCATGTCTGTATGAGTGTGTGGGGGGGGGGTGGGTGGGCGTGGGGGATGAAGGGGATCGATGGGCAAGATCGATGGGAGAGAAAAGGTTTGGAGGGAAGTAGGTGGCCCGCTCTCGGCACAGTGTCTCCTGGGAGGGGTGACACCTGGCTGACTCATGTCTTTGGGGTTAGGCCTATTTATAGCATTTCTGAGCACATATGCCCCTTCCTGGCCAACAGTGGCCCATGGAGCTGGGGGTGGGGCTGAGGTTGGGTGGACTTGTCCCATGGTCTGAGAGGGGCAGCTACCCCTGCTATGGCCCTTGTCCCCAGTGCCCTTGAGTTGGGGTAGGGGCAGGCCTGTTCTGGAGCTGGGGCCTCCTGCTGGGTCTTAGGTGAGGCTGTTAAGAACTAAGCCCTTCCCCTTCCTGGCTTCACCTCATTTATGCAATGGAAGCAACCACCCACATCTTCTTCCATCAGACCCTGCATGTCCAGCCAACAAACTGATGGGGTCAGGGCATTCCTGGCAGTCCTGTGGGTTTAGGCATCCCACATCCCTGGCCCAAAGGGGGTCAGGGAAGGGTGGGATGGAGGGTAGGGCAGCCACTGGAGAGGGTGAGGGGAAGTTAGGGAGTGGGTAATGGACAATGAGAAAGAAGTCTTGGGTGATGGGGGTCCTAGATGTTGGCGTCATCGAAAGCGAGGAAGGGGTCAGAGAACAGAAGGGTTAAGGGTCAAAGGAGATAGAGGGAAGTGTTCACTAAGGTGGGTGATCAGGAGGCTGTCTGAGAAGAAAGGGAATGGCTGAGACAAGGCCCTCAGTGGAGCATGGAAATGAGGCCTCTTGAAGACAGACCAGATGATGTTTCCGAATTTGGGGTACCAAGCCAACCAGGGAAATTCCCATAATGCCAATTCTCCAATGCCTAGAATAGCAGAATACTATTACTTTGACCCCACACCCAGAAAGGTGCAAAGAACAGATTTTCCCCAATAGGCTCCCCAGGTGTGATGTGAATTATAACTTCCATGAATATAACATTTAAGCAGCTTTTGGAAACACTTTCAGGGTTTTTTGGTTTTGTTTTGTTTTTTAATGTCAGGTCACTCCCTCCAAAAGGTCATGGAAATAAATTTGAATAAACAAAACAGGTTTGCTGAAAATAAAACCAGGACGCCCCAGCTGCTCCAGTCAGCCTGCTTCTGCGAGGCCCTACCTGTCAGCCAGCGCGGCACCGTGGCTGGGCGAGAAGCATCAGGCATGAACCAGGTGAGCGCGAGGGGGCTCGACAGGGGCTGAGACGTTGCTGAGGGTGGAGAGAGGCCAGGCTCCGGGTTTGGGGCTGGGGGCCAGGTGGAGCTGGAAACCAGGCTCTCAGGGAACAGCTGGGGAGGGAGCACCCTGATTACTTGAGAGCAGTTCTCTCACTGGCCTTTCCCCGTAGGTGATCGTGTTTTTGGTAATGGCCATGGGAACCCACAGCCTCAATTTTCGGATCCGGAAGGACTGCACCCACTGGCCCAGATGCTGCCCCAGCAAAAGGCAGGACCCCGCTCATGAGTCTCTGAAGGGGAACACTGTGCTCAAGCTCCCCCAAGAGGCCACTAGCCTCACCCACCACCCAGAATCCTGCAGGGCCAGTGAAGACGGACCCCTCAACAGCAGGTCTATCTCCCCCTGGAGATATGAGTGAGTCTGTCACCCCCTCCCGAATGCTAGCACGTGTGTCCATCAGGGTGTATGTGAGGGGCCCCGGCGGGGGGGATTCCACCCAAGTCCAGCCTGCCCGCCCCTCAGAGAGGCCATAAAGGTGTGGGTGTTAGGCAAGGCCTAGTCTGGGTTCTAGCTCTCACTCTTAGTGGGTGACTTTGAGCCACTTCCTTAAGGTTTCAAAGCTCAGCTTTTTTCATCTGTAAAATGAGGTAATACCCCCCAGGCCAACATGGAGATCAGGTGAAATAATGTATGTAAAATCTGTACTTAGTACAGAAAAGATAGGTTCTCTCCTTTTCCTCTCTTCCTCTTCCCCCTCCTTCTTCTTCTGTCCCTACAATGGGACATGTTTTTCTAACTGAAATATCAGGGAATAAGGGTATGCTACAGGTATGAAGCACCCCAATACCCAATGTGACTGCCCCGGTCCCTGGGTGGGTTATAAGTGTACCAAGCTAGTGAAACCCTCGACTCTGGGGGTGGTTATCTGTGATTATGGGCGGTCTTACTCTTTCGTTCAGTGTGCCACACAAATATTAAAATTCTCTATTGGTGCCATGATGCAAAACATATTAGGAAGCACAGAAATTGGAACAATGATGCAAAATATTAAAAATTAGGGCCTTAGGGATCCCTGTCTTGTGTCTTCTTGGGGTGCCTGTGTTCCCATTCCCCATAAGTCTAATTCTGGCTTGGCCTTGGCTTTGGGGATGGCTGGACAAGTTCAGTGGGTAAGGAGAAGGTCAGCTTAGGTTGAGACTAGATCCCGGGTGGAGACTCCAGGTCATCATGGTTTGAAGTGGTCTTGGAAGTCTGGCTGGGTCCTGGGCTAACTCCAATGAGGTGGGAACCACTTTGGGGAGGTTGGGTGCCAGATGGCTGACTTGGCTGGGGTCCAGAACTCTTGTTTGGGGGCCACGAACCCCTGATGACTACTTGGCTCATCTTCCCCAAAGTGTTCTTTTCGATACTCATCCCACAGGCTGTTGCTCAGAAAAAAGTGGTGACAGTGAAGTGTGGGGAAAGCTGCTCCAGCCCTCACCCCTCGGAGATTCATAATGTGCCCAGCACATTAAAAGTTGCAAGAAGTCCACAGAAAAGAAACCATAAATTCAGTGTTTCCCAAACTCATTTGGCCCCGGGCCCCCTTTCTTGCAGGGTACTTAATAGGGAACCCATGCTGGGAAACGCAGCTCTAGCTGAGCCCCAGCTCGTGAGGGCTTGTCTGTATGGAGAATGGTCTTACAACCCAGCGGCTGTTTCCTGCTAGCCCTTGGGAGGTCCAGACCTTTGGAGTGTCTACATTTCAAGTGTTGTTTTGGCCACAAAACCCTTTCAGAATAAGTAAATAAGTCTTTTTTTTTTTTTTTTTAAGATTTTATTTATTTATTTGACAGAGAGAGAGATAGCGAGAGCAGGAACACAAGCAGGGGGAGTGGGAGAGGGAGAAGCAGGCTTCCCGCTGAGCAGGGAGCCCGATGCGGGGCTCGATCCCAGGACCCCGGGATCATGACCTGAGCCGAAGGCAGACGCTTAACGACTGAGCCACCCAGGTGCCCCAGAATAAGTAAATAAGTCTTACCGTGCACGCTTACATGTGCTTATAGCAGATACATGAAAAGTGTCTGGAAGGATGTGCAGGTAATGGTTGACAGCGGCTCCCTCTGGGGAGGTGGCCTGGTAGGGAGACTGATGTCCTCACTTTACAGTGTTTCATACTGGGATGTAAGAGCAGTTTTTACTTTATAATAATAATAAAAAACCCCCTAACAATGTAATAACAATTACAAAAAGAAACCTCATGCCCGAGCCCAGCGGGTACGTCAGATGGAAGCAGAGCTCGGGTGGTGGAGGTCGCTCACCTTCCCTTGCCTCCACAAGGCTCCGGGGCCAGAAAACCACCCCTCCGTCCCTGGCCCTCACTGCCGGCAGGGGAAAATAACTCCCAGAGGGGAGGGGGTCACTCAGCAAGTGGGTACAAGAGCTGGGACAAAAGCCAGGCCCACCTCACCACATTTCCTTCCTCCAGCATCACCACTCCGGCCCCCGCCCCCCCCTCCCCTGCCTGCCCGCCCCGCCAGCCTCCCTGCAGGGTCTGATGAGTGCTACCCCCACAGGTTGGACAGGGACTTGAACCGGCTGCCCCAGGACCTGTACCACGCCCGCTGCCTGTGTCCACACTGTGTCAGCCTACAGACGGGCTCCCACATGGACCCCCTGGGCAACTCGGAGTTGCTCTACCATAACCAGACCGTCTTCTACCGGCGGCCGTGCCCTGGCGAGCAGGGTGCCCGTGAGGGCTACTGCCTGGAACAGAGGCTCTACCGTGTCTCCTTGGCTTGTGTGTGTGTGCGGCCGCGAGTGATGGCCTAGTCGTGCCGCCCGTGCCTGGTTCCTGGCCGGACCACCCGCCACGGTGAGCCACGACGCCCGAACGCTCGACCCCTCCAAAGCACTACCTGGAGCAGCAGGACCGTAGGGCAGGATCGGGGACTTTGGGGGGAACCGCACATCTCACTTTGTGGAGTGGGTGGGAAATGCGGGGTGAAGCAACAGAGCTGCTTATGGCGCCCGGAAGAGGACATCCTGGCATTTCCTCTGGGGAAAGGTCTTTAAGGCTCTAGAGCCTACCACCCCCATCTCTTCCTTTTCTCCCATCCCCAGCTGCCCTGGCAAAGCACAAACACTTTCTTGCTACTTTCCCCTTTGCCAGTGGAGAGCCCCTCGTTTCATGTGTTTGTTCGTCCGTCCATCCATCCATCCATCCATCCATCTATCCATCCAACACTCAGTGACATCTACTTTGCACATACCTCGGTGCAGTTACTAGGCTCTGAGGAAGAGGCTGTTATTGAGGATGGAGAGACTTATCCAAATAAATAATCTGTACTCAAAATGGCTTAATTTGTCTTGGCGTCCCTGGTGCCTGAACACCAGGCTCCCCAGCCTGAGCCCTTCTCTTCCCGCATGGTCAGCCCTTACCTACTACCCTGTCCCGCCTTCCAGAGTTTCCGCTGTGACCTCCCATCCCTCCCTTTCTCTGGCTCCCTAGCCTACCCCTGAACACTGGGGTGGGGGTCAGGCTGCCCTCCTGGCATGCTGGAGAGACAGAGGCCCATTGAGGCACTGCAGCAGGCACACAGCGCCCCCTTGTCCCCCCAACAATCTGCCTTTGTCCTCAGTCTTGGCTGCTACAGCCTGGCCCTGGGGGGTACTGCCTGGGCTGGGCTCCAGCTCCCACCCTCCCTAAAAGGAAAAGGGAGAAAAGACAGCCAGGAAGACGGGAGTTAGGGGAGGGGGATGCAAACTTCTTCAGGCTTAGGTCCTTGGGGGGCTCCTAGTCTAGCTCCTTCCTCGGCTCACCTCCCAGCTCCTCCCAGTTTCTGTGTGGACCTCCTCCTTTTCCCCCTCCTCCCTGCTCCCCTTCTCTGGGTGGGGGTTGGGCTCCAGCAAGGGGAGGGCTGACCACTCCTCCCCGCCCCACCCCTCCCCTCCCTTCCCCATGTGCTTCCTGGGGGGCTGGTGCAGGCACCAGCAGGGGCACTCTGGGCAGCTGGGAGAAGGCCCATCTGGGCAAGCCTCCCCCGGCGGCCCCTCGGCCGGCCTGCCCGCTTCTCTTGCAGGTTTCTCCAAGTGCCTCCTTGCTCCTGTTTGCTTTCCCATCTCTCCAGGTTTCATCTTCCCAGTTCCCTTCTAGGGCCAGTGGCGTGGGGGCTGTGCCTGGTGGGCTCCACAGAGATGCTTAGTGCTCGGGATCGCCGGGACGGGCCCCCCGCAGAGGGGGCAGCTGCGGGGCTCCAGGGCTTTGCTGTGGACAAGACCTTCCTCTCCTCCCTCAAAGGCATCCTGCTGGAAACTGAGCTGGTAACAGTCACCTCCCCAACCTGGCGCCTCCATCTCTCCCAGTTTGATCCCACTCCCCCCCTCCCTGCCCAGTGCCCCCATTGGGCTCGCCCCTCAGCGGTCCCCTTTCCGGGGCTCTCTGGACACCCCTCCTGCCCCAGCTGCCCTGCCCTCACCTCCCTGCCCGCCCACCCTCTGGCTACCTCTCCATCTGAAGGCCCTTACAGCAGCTTCAGCGGCAGGAGGAAGAACTGAAGTTAGGACATAAAGGGCAAGCTTCCCGCAGCCCCCCTTTATCTGTGTCTGCCCCCCCCCACCGTGAACATCTGCTCTCGGGACAGAATCTTCCCCTGTCACTTAGTAAGATCTTAGTCTCAACCTAAGTTCGCTGAGTATGTGTCACGGACATCGCCAGAGCTGAAGGGTCCCTTAGAGTCCACAATGGAGCATCTGCCTTCTGAACGTTGTCTCTTGGTGTGAACCAAAGGCCTTGTTTTGGTTCTTGTTTAGAGGAGTTTCAGACATCTGGGAGTGGGGAAAGTACTGTGGGATGGGGGTCCCTCCTGGGGTGCAGGGCTACTGTGGGCATGACTCCAGGGGCTGGTGTTCACTCTGTACCCTGGGCTTCAGCAGGACACCTCTTTTGTGGGTTCCATAGAATGATGCCCCCTGGAGGGGTGCAGCTTGGTCAAACTGCTGGGGTTGCTGGGAGCCAGGGGCTGGGGGAGCTGGGAAGCTGGAGACTGCCCTCGATGGGAAACGCCCTGGAGTGTGGCTCTCCGCTACCAGGGATGGGCAGACCTCCAAGGATGGGTGGTGGGGGCCAGCCTGGGGGAGTTCCTGAGGAGGGGAAGGCAAAAAATCTGGCCAGGCCTGTGTCCCCTTCCTGGCAAGCTTCACACACTTGGTCCTGCAGGCCCTGACCTTCATCATCTTCATCTGCTTCACGGCCTCCATCTCCGCCTACATGGCCGCAGCGCTGCTGGAGTTCTTCATCACGCTCGCCTTCCTTTTCCTCTACGCCACCCAGTACTACCTGCGCTTTGATCGGCTGAACTGGCCCTGTCTGGTGAGGGACCCTGCCCCCGCACCATTCTGGTCCCTTTCTTCTCTGAAGGCGAAATTTTCCTTTTCCCTCCCAGCCTCTGTCCTTTCCCTGGGGCAGTATGGGGCCCAGCCCCAACACCGATTTCACAGCTCTGAGGCACTGACAAGGGGGATGCCCTCCCACTCACCGAAGGTCCCACCCCGCCCCTGCCCTGGCCCTCCTGGCCCGCATGCCCCAGCCCTGCCCCACCTGGAGTCCTGGCTCCTAGTCCTGGCCGCTCTGCATTCACCTGCATCTCTTCCCTGGCTCTCTCTCAAGTGCTTTATATCGTGTCCAGGGGTATCTCCATGTAGGGGTTCACAGTGCCTGAGGGTCAAGCCTCTGAATAGCCTGGAAAACCTCAGGGTGATGTTCTCTTGCCCTCTGACTTCCCTTTGACCCTGCACCCCCCCCCCCATCCCCCAGGACTTCCTCCGCTGTGTCAGTGCCATCATCATCTTCCTGGTGGTCTCCTTTGCGGCTGTGACCTCCCGGGATGGAGCTGCCATCGCTGCTTTTGTGAGTCCAGCCCCACAGAGCTCCCCAGGCCCTAAGGGCCTCTGGCTGGCGTTTGCACACTCTCGGTGCCTCCCCACAAGCCCAAGCCGGCGCCCAGCGAGCCCCGTACCGCCCACCTCCCTCTCCCTAGTACGTGATGGCCGGCGGCCTTCGTTGCGTCATCCCTGTGCCTACGCGCCTGCTCCCACAGGTGTTTGGCATCATCCTGGTCTCCGTCTTTGCCTACGATGCCTTCAAGATCTACCGGACCGAGATGGCTCCCAGGACCACCCAGGGTGAGTGTCTGTGCTCTGGGGAGAGGACATGCCCCCTCCACCCTGTGCCACGGTTCCCTGATCCTGACATGCCCTTCCCGGCCTGGCTCCGTATTCACAGAGGCCCAGCAGTGACCCTGAGCTACCTGGCTCCTAGGCCCAGCCAGACAAAAGGAACAGTGCAGCCCAGACACTTTTTCTTTGGATTCACTAGCCCACAGCCCACTGCTCCCCAGCCAGGCCTTCCGAGATGGAGTCTGGCCTGAGAAGTCACCAGGGACTTGTCTGTGGGGCTCAGTGCTCTGAGATCTGGCTCCCGATGAAGCTCTACCAGGAAGGAGGTGTTTTGGGGAGGGAGGGCAGGAAGAAGCTGGTCATTCCCAAATTAAAAGATTCGAATCCTACTGGTGAGTCTTTTTCTTCCCTAGGAATCAGGCAGATCAGGAAAGCCAGGGAGTATTCACAAAAATGGTCATGGTCCCTCCTCTGCAACCAGGTCTGAGCCATGAGGAAGGGGGACTGGACTGAAGGTGCTGAAGACTTCCTTCAACACCAGACTTCCGCTCTACGATCTGTGTGCCGGGTCACTTTGTGCTGGGCCTGGTGGCTGGGCTCCCAGGGTCCTGTGTCTGAGAAGGCACAAGCCTTTCCCATGTGAGTGCCCACCTGCGCGCACAGGTTTGTTAGTGGGTTTAGAGCCAGGTGCTTGCCCGGGGCGTGTGTAGAGCTCCCCCTTGTGGTGTGGGGAGGACAGGAGAGGAGAGAGGTCAGCCGGTGGCACCAGATGAGGGCAGAACTTCCCGAAATGCTGGCTCTGGAAGAGCTCTTAGACATCAGCTGGTCCAATGCCCTCATTTCACATAAGAGAAAACAAGCCCAACTACAGGAAGTGACCTCTTCACTTGTGACAGAGCTGGGATGAGAACCTAGCTTGCCTCACATCTCTACAGGTGATCAGGATACAGTACTGAGCTCCCGCTAACTCAGGAAAAAAATGGCCCAGCCTCATCTCCAGCTCCCTCCACCAATGGGTCCGCTCCCCCAGCTTGCCAGGACCACAGCAAACATTTCCTGAGCATCTCCTGTGTGCAGACCCTGTGCTGGGCCCCAGGGATTCAGGGGTGACAGGCAGCCCTGTCCTTGGGCACTCACAGCCTGGGAAGGAGACAGGCTAGTGAAGGACAGCCATGCCTGCCTGCAGCGAATGCTGTGGGAGAGTTTGGCTGGGGGTGTTTGGAGAGCAGGCACTGCGACGACCCAGGAATCAGCCCTGCTTGTCCCGTGATAGTGCGGGGGCAGCTGGGATGTCCCTGCCCACCCACGTGGCCTAACTCAGTGGCTCATACAAGCTGGCTTGCTATCCCTCTAATGCTGGTTTGCTCCTGCTCTGAAATACCTTCCCTTTGTTTCTGGGGTGCTCCTGCCAGAGGCAGGCCCCAGCCCCCAAGCCCTGCCCGAACCCTGCAACTCCAATAGAGCGGTTCTGCTCCCCTTGGTGATAATCGTGGGTCTATCCGGGTCTGACTTCTCCAACTTTCCTGTCCTCATGTCCAGGCTCCTCACCAGAACTGGCAGCCTCCCCAGGGCTAGAACCAACTGGATTTTGTGTTTTTCTGGGTTTCTGCTAACATTCTCAGGGCTCTATGCATAGTCCACTCTCAACACTGATTGGCCACCCTTGGGGGAGGTGGGGTCAAGGCTTTAGAGGAGGCATAGCAGAGGCTTAGCCAGGGCAGTTTAGGAGATGGGGTGCCAGGTGAAGGGATGAGAAGGTAGTTAGGAGAACCTGGGCTATAAAGCCCAGCAGGGGGCAGGGATTTGCCTGGAGCCGAATGGGGCCGGGACCAGCCCTGTCCCCTGGGCAGGCATATAACCTGGGCTAGACTGTCCCTGGTGGGAGCTCAGAGAGAGTGGAAGTGTGATCTACGGTGTGTACCTGCTCATGCACCTGTGCCCATCTGTGCCCGTGTGAGAGGCCAAAATGAAACAAGCAACGCTTGGCTTTGGTCCACAGAGCCTGTTGATTCAGGCTCGGTGTCAGCTGGCCCCAGAGGCTCAGGATTCCCTCACAGTGAGGCGCTGACCACAGAGGCCGAGGTCAGACCTGGGCCCCAGCCGACTGTGCCTGGGACTCCATTTGGGTTACTCGTAAGGGGCTGGCCAGAATGGGACCTGTACCAACCCCTTTATGAACCTCCACCCCCAGTGAGCCCTGAGCCTCTCCTGGTGTCAGTGGGAAATTCATCTGGGAGGGAACGGGTGTCCCAGGATGCCTTTAACCCCTGCAGCCCAGAGCTGGGGTAGGTGGAGGGGAGCTTCAGCTTTGACACGAAAATTCTGTCTCTCGGCACACAGAATTGGCTCACCCTTCTGGTACCTTTGTTTTCTCTCCTCCTGACCAGGGCTCTCTGGGCCTCGGCTGCCTCCTCTGTAGATGTGGAAAGCTTGGGCTCCCACAGCTCTGACACAGGGGCAGGGCCTCCCTCCGCTGGGGAGCTTTAAGACAGCTGCTGGCTGGCTGGCGGCGGTGGTGGGAAGGACGGGGCGCAGGCAGAGTCCGGCATTCAGGTTTATTACAGGTTGGCAAGAGGGGGGTTCCTGAGGCGGTGTCACTCCTCGTCATGCAGTTTTTGCTGAGAAGGGAGTAAAGGGTGTGAGGGGCCAGCTGGCAAGAGGGAGGTAGGGTGTGGGGAGGAATCTCTAGGGCTTTCAGGGGCCTAAAGGGGATGGCTTTAGAGGGAGAGGTTCTGGCCTCAGGGATCTTGGGTCTCACTTGGGGGCCTTTGTAGTTTAGTGGGTGGGACTGGGCTTTCTTCAGAGGTTCAGGGGGTTCTCAGGTATGGGTGCTGTGGGACCCCCCAGGTCTGCCATCATATAGGGTAAGGAGTGCCCATTCTGAGGGGGCACTGATGTTGGCGGATGTGCTGACACGGGGCGACTAGTGAGCCCCGGAGGAGGGACCCACCTTGGTGCCGATGTCGCGGCTCTTGGCCCGCAGCTTGTTGACCTGGGACTCGGCGATGTCCGCGCGCTCCTCCGCCTCATCCAGCTCGTGCTGCACCTTGCGGAACTTGGACAGGTTGGTGTTGGCCTGCTCCTCCTGCAGGGGTTCGGGGACGGGGAGGCTGAGGTGAGAGGCAGCAGGGGGAGGGGGAGGAGGTGGAAATTCCCAGCCTCCCAGTCTGAGGGATTCCCTGTCCCTGAGCCAGGGCTCAGGGCTCTCACCCCTCTACTGTGTTCCTGCAACTGCCTTGCCAAGGGTATCCTGCTCCTGGCTTGGCACCCTCCTCAACTTGCCAGCATTCAGAATCCTGCATGGCCACCCACTGCCTGAGATGAATTACATGCTGCCTGGTCCAGTCCCATTCAGAATTCAGCCTCACTGCATCTGCCCAACTAGGACTCTGATAGATGCTCCCAGCTCCGGGGTTTCCTGCACATGTGTGCTCATCGACACCTTACTTTCACACTTTTCTGCCCACCCAGAGTCTTCCCCACTGCCCTATGGTCAGGTCCTCTCCTGGGCTCACTTCCACGGCCACCTTCCAGCCTTGAGCACTGTCTGGCCCCGTGGCCTGCTTAGCAGGTACACTGCCTTCCCTCAGGTCTACTGGGGTATGGGTTCTCAGCAGTCTGTAGGCATTGCTTGTGCTCGCTCAGAGTGCCCGACCCAGCTCTGAGCACACGGACACGTGAAACGTCTAGTCCCCATGCTGGGGCTGACGCCCGTGGATTCTCACACATGGGAGGTGTGTTGACGGAGTGGAGAAAACCATGAACTCACCGCCTCCTCGGCCTGGCGCTTGTAGGCCTTGACCTTCAGCTGCAGCTTGTCCACCAGGTCCTGCAGCCGCAGCAGGTTCTTCTTGTCCTCCTCCGTCTGGGGGTGGATGGATGGGAGAAGCCAATTTGGGGGAGGAGCAAGTGCAATCATTGTTCCCTCCCTCAATCCGTCACTCTTCTCCCCAGGCCTCAGCTGCCTTCCCTCCCTCCGATGGGCCAGGTCAAAGAAGGGGGGTGTTGGATTCCAGCTCTGCCTCAACTTGTAGGTCAAAAGGCCACAGCAAGGTCCTCAGTCCGGATCTAAAAAGCAAAGAGGGCTGTGGCCCTAAAGCTGGAAGTGGGGCAAGGGGCCCAGAACCAAATGGAATTCCTTCATCTGATAACATGGAGCTATCGGGGCTGTTGCAGCCCCAGCCTGGAGCCCCGTCGATGCTCTCGGCTGGTGGTTTTAGAGTGAGCTGAGAGGACTAATGAGGACCACAGGGTGAAGGGGGCACCGTCATAGGCAGACCATTCTAACCTATCAGATACGTGGATTGCACTGGGCAGATTTGGGCACCAGGATCACTGGCCCCAATGTCACCAGATCATTTCTATCTCGTCATCACTGTATGTGCTAGGGTGCCTCTCCCACTTATGTACCCAACAGGTCTGCCGCTCTCCAGCTGTAGCTCTGTCTCATGTCTCTCACATCCAGCTGTCAAAGGGACCAATACCCCCTTTCTCTGTCCTTCCTTCCTAGGCGCACTGTGAAAATAACAGGTCAAGGGCAAAAGCTCTGAGCTACACAGGCGCAGGTCTTAGAACATTTTGGGATCATCTTTATCTAAGACCATCTATCTGTTCCAGGGGAAGTTCCAGGGGAAGTTCCAGGGGAAGTTCCAGGGGAAGGTCTGAGTCTTTCCCATCTCTGACTTTTATCCTGAAAGTGCCATACTATGTCCTTCCCTTTCAGGCCGGTAGAAAGGTTCTGTGGACTGTGCTAAAGCCTTCATGGTAACACTTTGGGTTCTTAAAAAAAAACCCTGAGGAAACGCTGGTTAAAAGAGCTTTCAGGAAGTAGAAATAGGTTCTCATTTGCTAGAAAAAGTCATGGACTCAAGCCAAATGGACTCCAGGGAATGTGAAAGAAAATTAATCTAAAGACAGCTTCTCAAGAAGTAGGTGCCAGGGGGTTGAGTGGCATTCCCAGACAGTGACTGTGCGTGGGGCCTGTGTGGCCAGGAAGTGGGGCAGGGGAAGTGCTTTCACATCTGCCCTTGACTGCCGCCCAGAGCAGCCACCATGCCCACACCTGGTAGGTCAGCTCCTTGATGCGACGCTCACTCTTCCTCATGCCCTTGACTGACTCCACGTTGCGCTTCTGCTCAGCTTCCAGCTCGTTCTCCAGCTCTTGCACCCGGGCCTCCAGCTTCTGCAGCTGCTTCTTGCCCCCCTTGAGGGCGATCTGCTCGGCCTCATCCAGCCGGTGCTGCAGGTCCTTGATGGTCTGCTCCATGTTCTTCTTCATGCGCTCCAGGTGGGCGCTGGTGTCCTGCTCCTTCTTCAGCTCCTCTGCCATCATGGCAGCCTGGGGTCAGGAGAGAGGTCTAAAAGAACTGGGCCCAGGGCCCCTTGTCCCTCAAGGGTCAGCGTTTTCCCAGCCTGGTGTCTGTTTCCCGAGGCCCGCCAACCCACGCAGCGCTAAGAGTCGGCTTGTCACGGTGCAGTGGCTTGGCCGGGACCCAGGGCCCTTGTTCACGTCTTTAGTGGGGGCGGGAGGGGGGCGGTCACTCACATCGGTGATGGCCTTCTTGGCTTTCTCCTCGGCGTTCCTGCACTCCTGCACCGCCTCTTCCACTTCTGATTGGAGCTGGGACAGGTCTGCGTCCATCTTCTTCTTCTGGTTGATGAGGCTGGTGTTCTGAGGATCAAGGTGGGCGGAGCACGAAAAGCACTGAGCATCCAGGGGTGGCTCCCAAACCTCACCTGCTGGGCCCCCCCAGCCGTGCTTCCCTCCACGACTGCACGGGGGAGCCGCTCACCTGGGAGTGCAGCAGCTGCACCCGCTCGCTGGTCTCGATCAGCTCCTGCTCGGCCAGCTTCCGAGACCGCTCCGTCTGCTCCACCACGGCCC